GAAATAAAATAAATGAAATCGAAGAGACCTATGCTACCATAAAGGTATAATTCATCTCACTCATCCCGCCCCGCCGCGGTTGTTTAGTGGCTAACGTATTCGGCTGCTGACCCGCAGGTCACGGGATCGAATTCTGGCTTTGGCGGCTGCATTTTCGATGAAGGTGAAAATGCTGTAGGCCCGTGTGCTCAGATTTGGGTGCACGCTAAAAAACCCCAGGTGGTTGAAATTTCCGGAGCCCTCTACTACGGCGTCTCTCATACTCATATAATGGTTTTGGGACGTTAAACTGGGCCACATACCAATCAATCATCCCATTCATACCATAAAGCGTTACATAAGAATGATCATTCCAAGTGTAATGACAATTTTTCTTCATTTATTGCATGTAAACGTAAATTACAAACTAAAATCACGAGGCTAAGAACCACTACTTTGGCTATGCATTCGCTACACTAACGAAAAAAACTCATCCAGGTTTTAGAGATCCATTAGTCTATTCCTCTCAAATCCTGACGTCTATGTCATTCTTTTCAAATCTTGAAGCCATAGCAAATGTTTTTATAACTACTTCAGATTAGTTGTTTTTTTGTTTACACTGATAACGGCATCACCCCTTTATTTTCTACATGCAGCAAACTACCTGTTCTATCTAATCTTGAATTGGGCTCCTCTGGAGTACATAATTTTATAATAAATCTTAAGGTTTCGAAAAGATCTAGCCCAGACGGTATTACACATGTATTTTTTATATAGTATTCAGGATGGCCTGCTCACTATGTTTCTGCAATATTTAAAAAATCAATAATCTCGGCAGGAGTTCCTCAGCTGCACAAATTAGCAAACGTTGTGACCGTATTTAACTCCGAAAACAATCCAATAATACCATAATACAGGTCAATATTTATGCTTTCAACCAGCTCTAAGCTTTTGGAGCATGTCTTTAACAAATATATCGTATGCCTAAATAGACGCAGTATATTTTACCGATCACAGTACATACGGCTTTCGTGTAACGGCAGCACGGCCGCCGTTACTGTTGTGGTGCCTACAACCACTCAAAGGTCTTGTTACTTTTCCTGGTATCCAGAATAAGAAATCGTATATATATATATATATATATATATATATATATATATATATATATATATATATATATATATATATATATATATATATATATGAGAGAGAGAGAACAAGCGATCAGAGTGGGTAAAGGAACACAGCGGGGTTAAGGACATATTATAATAGTTGAAATCAAGAAGCAATGGACATGGGCAGGGTACGTAGCACATAGGCAGGATGAATGCTGGTCATTAACGGTAACTGACTAGTTTCCCAGAGAAGGAAAGCACATAAAGGGAAGACAGAAAGTTGGCGCGGCGAATTAGATTTAAATGTTTACGGGTATAACGTGGCAGCAGAAACCACAAGACCACATTGATTGGCCGATCGCGGGAGAGGCCTTTGCCCTGCAGTGGGCGTAGTCAGGCTGATGACCATGATCATGCACCAACCACGTGGCATTAAAGAGGGCCTGAAAAACTTTTTCAAATAACCATGGAATGGGTTCACTTCAAGAACTGGTTGCCTTACGAGTTCAACGGCGCAAAATTTTTAAGGATTCAGTACGATCGGAGTTACGAAGATTTGTCGCACGCTGCAAACAAATTCTCTCTTCTCTTGCCCCGATGAAAGTGCTGGAAGCTGAACAGGGGGTGATGGCAGGGGAAGAAATATACGTCACGTGCGTCTCGTGATCTTAGCACTGTTTTTTTTTTCGTCGAATACGCGGTTTTTTCAGTGTGCTAACGCGCGCACGCGTGGAGAAGTTACAGCCTCCCACGCCGATTCCCATAACGACCGAGCGCGCCATGTTAAAATCAGCCATTGGCTGATGGGTATCCTTCTACGAGTGCTTTTTGGACGTCTTTCGTCATTTGTCGAGAAAATAGAAAGCAATTTTCAGCCGACGTTGATAATTTATTGCGAATTGTATTCCGCGTGCGGCGCCATATTATTTAGCTCGCGTGTTTTCGGAAGCCCCATACTGCCTATCGGCGGCGTTTTCTGACCAGGTTCAAAAAGTGTGTCAAAGCCCCTTTATTTATTTATTTATTTATTTATTTATTATTTATTTATTTATTTGAATACCCTCAGGGCCCGAGGGCATTACAGAGGGTAGTGGGTTAGACAACATAATGAAAAAGCGGAAAATTGGTGGTTACATGGATCAGTGAAGGAAACCAACAAGAAATAATGCACATTATAAGAACAAAAACAGGTATTAAAGAACTACAAAGCTTAACAGGTTTACTGAAATGTGAAAATACTATATTCCTAAAAATAATGGCGACAGGTTAGTTATAGCAGCCTTAAACATAGAGGTATTAGACATCTCGACTACAGATCGGGGAAGGTGATTCCAACTTGCTGACGTACGGGGCATGAATGAATTGTAAAAATGGTTGGTGTGGCATGTGGGAATGCCAGCCTTATGACGATGGTCGGTGCGAGCGGATACGTAAGAAGAAGGGGTTATCAATTTATTCTTAAGGACTGAATTGTGGTAATATATCTTGTGAAACAGGCAGAGGCGAAACATTTCTCTACGTTGTGAGAGCAGAGGTAATGATAAAGTTATTTTCATGGAAGTGACGCTGGAGGTGCGATGATAGTTGGAAAGAATGAAACGAGCAGCCCGACTCTGGATGGATTCAAGCTGATGAATGAGTGTTTCTTGGCTGGGGTCCCACAAAGATGCAGCATATTCCATTTTGGAACGTACTATTGATTTATACAGAAGTAATTTCACTGAAAAGGAAGAAATATGAAAATTACGGCGTATGAAACCCATCGTGCGATTAGCATTATGGGTTACATGTGTTACATGCATCTTCCAGGAAAGATCAGAAGTGATGAGTACGCCTAGATATTTGTAACATGACACAGGTTCTAGGTTAGTATTATTAAGGTGATCAGACGGAAATGTTGTATCGCGACGTAAAACGCGCATGTGCTTGCATTTGTTGGTCTTTAATTCCATGTTCCACGTGTTAGTCCAGTCACGAACATGGTTTATATCTGATTAAAGAAGATAGACGTCAGAGTCGCTATTAATAACACGGTATATAACACAGTCGTCAGCGAACACGTTTATTTATGAACATAGACTATCAGGTAAGTCGTTTATGTAGATGAGGAAAAGCAAAGGTCCACGCACAGAGCCTTGAGGCACGCCCGATTCAACTGCAGAAGTGATGGATGAGGTGTTATTCACAGTGACAAATTGGGAACGATCAGTGAGAAAAGAGTGAAGCCATTGAAGAACGTTCGGATCAATGTTAAGTTTGCTGAGTTTTAAAAGAAGCAGTTGATGAGAAACCTTGTCGAACGCTTTTGAGAAGCCTAGGAATATGCAGTCGACAATGGAACCCCTGTCAAAAATGGAATTTAGGTCATGTGTGAATGTCAAAAGTTGTGTTTCACATGAAAACGACTTGCGAAGTCCATGCTGGTGATGTGTAAAAAGGAAGTTTGACTGTAGGAAAGATGCAAGATGAGAGCAAATAACATGTTCCATAACTTTACATGAAATACATGTGAGTGAGATTGGTCTATAATTATATGGAGAATGCCTATCCCCAGACTTGTGCAAGGGAATCACCTTCCCTACCTTCCAGTCTTCCGGAATGCAACCGGTATGAAGCGATTGCTGAAATATATTAGTGAGAATGATGGCACTGTACACTTTAGTACTAATTAAAAACTTTGAATTTATGCCATCAACATCACATGATGATGAAACTTTTAGATTTTTTATGATGTTTTCTATACCGGCAGCATCAAAGACAATGGGGTCCATTGTTAAGAACTTCGAACTAGAATTAATGCAGTAATGTGTGTGTTTTTTTCAGTCGGTGGTCCGTTTTAAACTATCAACTCATGATGATCGCATGTTCTCACATCTGATCGCAATGAGCGCTTGTACCACATATTATTGCAACGATATTACATGTTGCATTGTGAATCCTGTATACAGGTAGCGTGTGTTTTGAAACCACGCAAGTTACTGTCACTGCATTTCCAGGGAGAGGAAGTTATTTTCACTGAATTTCCGAGCATACACGTGGCTCATTCTTCATCGTGGGTATACACAGCTTATGGAAGAACCGTATGCAGGACCGTAAAGCAGAACCCACCACTCCTTCAAAGACAGACTACATTCAAATGGCTATTCACCTCATGGACATATTTAATGACCTAGACTTTAGACCGGATTGGTACTCCATCTTGGTGAGGTGTTCGGCCTCACCCCCTTTCTTGTACAACATTATGTGAAGAACTACTCACCGAGTTAGTCTTTGAGTGTTGCTTAGTAACGCTTGAGCACATGTTTTCGTCTTGTGAATGTACTTTTGTTTGCTTTAATCGTGTCTTTAGGGGCACGTTAAAGAGCTCCAGGGGGTGGAAATTTCCGGAGCCATCCACTACGGCATCTCTCATAGCCATATGGTGATTTCAAACCTATATATAATTAATGTTCAAACCTATATACAATTAATGAATACTTAGAAAATTAATTATTAATCTTTTTATGAAAGTATCAGGTCGAGAGCACGACCACCTTTAGACATAAAGTGTTACGGCGCGTGCTTTTTTCGAGACATTTAATGTAACGCCCTATATGTACCGCTAAGATTTTGTTTGAGATTACACACGTGCCCTAGAAGGCGGTGGTTTTCACAGAGATGCGGCTCTGGAAATTCGGACTACTTGAATTTTTCAACTCTAGGCCCATGAGCTTTTCGCATTTTTAGCCCATCAAAATGCGGCCGCTGCTGCCAGGAATTAATCCCCCAACCTACTGATCAGCAGTCACCATAACCATTAAACCACCGCGGTGGATATTTGTTGCTCAGGCAGTGAACCTCTTGTCTAATTGCTGAGTATCTTATCAGTAGCTGAAAAAATGTGGCTGCACTTCAACGCAGATTCTACCGTGGCGCTGTGTAAAGCTGTTCACTCATAGAGGAGCCTCCAGGCCGACCCATTGGTTCGAGTCGAAAGCAGGAGACTAATGGCTGAGACTGGAGCGGGTGCACGCATCATGGAAGGCCTCGGAATGACTCCTGACGAGCTCATGGTAAGACACGCCGCGCATGTACTTAAAGAGGCTATGCAATATTTTTGAAGTAACCATGGAATGAATTCACTACAAGAACTCATCGCTTTACGAAATCAACGCCACAAAAATTTTAAGAATCCGTACAGTACGGGCAGAGTTACAAAAATTTATCGCACACTGCAAACGCATTCTCTCTTCTCTCATCCCAACGAAAGTGCTGGAAGCTAAGTAGGGATGGCAGGGGCAAAAAAATATACGTCACGCGCGCCCCGTGACCTTGAGCAATGTTTTCTTTTCATCGAATACGTGCCTTTTTCACGGTGATCGTGTGCGCACGCGTGGACAAGTCGCGGCCTCCCGCGGCGATTCCCGCAACGACCGAGCGCGCCATGTTAAAATCAGCCATTGGCTGGTAGATGGCCTTCTACGAGTGATTTTTGAGCGTCTTCGGCATTTGGCGAGATAAAAGAAATGAATTTTTAGGTGATTTTAATAATTTATTGTGAATTCCAGGCTGCGTGCTGGGCTATAATATTTAGCTCGCGTGTTCTCTGTAGCTCTTACTGCCGATCAGCAGCGTTTTCTGACCGCACTAAAAAAAGTGTTGCAAGGCCCCTTTAATTATCAAATCGCATCGAGAGCCTCCATCAGCTTTCTCAAGAGCAGTTTATTTTTCCTGCGTCATTTGTTGAGCATAAAACACAACGAAACCTCTAAAATTTGTGATGCAGATATATAGACAACTTTTAGGGCCTGAGTAGGTTATGCAAGGTCCAGCAAGAAACTGTTTCAGTGTGACGCAGTGTAGTTCTATAACCGTATGGTTGCAGCTGCGTCGCCGTGTACATTTGCATCTATAGACTGCATATAGTCTGAAGGAACTGGCACTGGGTAAGAAAATTTGTAATATTAAATTCTTGTCTGCAAATACATTTTCAACTCACACGCATATACGTTTCTACCTGTAGATGTCTCATTTTTACTTGCCTCACTCTATGACGTACAACATAATAAAACCAAGGCAAATATTGGGGATGTTATTTTTAGTAATTATTATGTAAATATTGTGAAATCTCAGAATGAAGTACGCGCACTCGGAGAGAATGGACGCAATGCAGGCGCGATCGGAGCAAACCAAACAACACACATTTATTAGATGTGAAGCAGCTCTTAGACTAGCCTGTGCGATGCTGTCCCTCCGTACACCCCCACTGCGCATGCCCCTGTCTCGCGTCTCGTGCCGACCCAGGAAGACACCCGCAAAACTGTCGCTTCCTCCCGCTCTCTCGCCTCGCAAGGCTGACACAGACAGCGTCTGCTAGTAAGAAAAAAACGCCAGGTCTGCGCGCAATGCATAGTAACAGCGAAGGCTAGAAGAGCGACCTTTCAGGGCCTTTTCAAAGCACTCATTGGGTAACTACTGCAAGCACACTTGCTTGATACCAACTAGGACATTAATAATAAATATTTTATGGTAGTAGGCGAGCATTCGCTATGCTATTTTTTGTTATTCTACTGAGAAGCGTGGTATCTGCTAAACTTTTGCAAAGAATTTTGTGCCAATTGTTCATGCAGCGGCTGACGTCGATGAGGAACATTGGCTGAAGTGGGTATGCGCCAGAGTTAATAGGGGAACAAGAACAAGCTTTTGTAATGAATTGTAGCATTGGACGGCTCACTGGTTACGCTAATCGCATTGTGCGGTGACTGGCTGTGCTTTCGCTGTTTTAAAACGCCTTATAAGTCGTATTAACGCAATTGCTTTGCCGACATCAAGAAGGCCCACTTCCTGAGATTCGCGCGAGATTTTACGGAAGTAGGACGCGTCTTTCTGCACTCCCTATCTTACCCCGTTCCTCGCTCCGCGCTTTTCGCGCGCAGCCCTGTAAGGGCTACAAACGGCGCCTCTTAGAGGCAACCGGAAAAAACAGCCGCTGCAGGATACTCTAAAGCCCCCCCCCCCCCCCCCCCCCCCGGCATCAACAACGGTACCCACTCAGCAGCAAGAGGCACAATCCAAGCCTGCACGCTCCAAAAAGAAAACGCAGCCTCAAGAGGACAGCAGCCATCACACTGCCACCCTCTGCCCGGTTTCGAGCGAAGCGAAAGTGAAAACAGGCGCTTCCTCCTCTCATACCACGGCCGTGGCTTCCTGCACGGGATTTTCTCCCAGCAGCAATCCCTCCTCTCGCCTCCCCAACACCACGGTTGCGAGCAATCGTCGCCCGCCCCCAGTGTGCCGTCCGTGCCTTCAAGCACATCACCGTGCCCCGATTGTCCCCACTTCACTGGCTACCCTCCTCTTTCTGACCGTGCGACCACCATCATTTTTCGGCCGATCGAGAAGATGGCCCACTTCCTGGCTGCGTCGAGGGATGCGATTGCCGCCTTTGTCTTGGGGTTCCCAGCCGCCAACCGAGTGTGACTGAATTTCCGGCGCAACCTTGTTGCGGTCGACACTCACCCTACTGCCGATCTGACCGCCCTACTTCAGGTCGGGACGATTTGCGACACCAAGGTGCGGGCCAAACAACTCGACCTGAACATCTGCGTCGGCGTGGTTTTTGGAGTGCACCCAACGATCTCCTTCGGGGACCTTGCCGACAACATTGCGTCACCTGTGCCACTAGTGTCTGGTGTCCGCAAAGGCAACTGTCTCATCCTCACCTTCGCGGGGAACACCGTCCCCTCGGATATATTGCTCTACAAGCAAAGGTGCCCTGTTCGACCCCGCCAGCCCCGGCCCCTGCAGTGCTCCCGTTGCGGCCGCTCCGGGCTCGCAACCACCACCTGTTCTCGAGACGAACGGTGCCTGTGCTGCGGCATCAAGCACGCCCCAGGATCGTGTGCAGCACACCCTCGCTGCATAAACTGTCACGGGAAACATCTTGCAACCGAGCCGCGCTGCCCAGTCTGACAACTCCATCACAGGGCTGTGGTCATCATGGCCTCAACCAATGACACCGTGACTCACCGCCAAGTCCTGCATTGCACTAGGGCTCCTGGCAGCAACGCCTCCATCATCAAGGGACGCTCCTTCCGAGATGCGCTCGTCGGCACCGGTGACACGACCTCGGAGGCCGCCCTTCTTCCCACAACTAGTGCGCCCATCGTACCCACTTCAACGATAACGGCCTCGCCCTCATCCTCATCGCAACCAGCCCCTGCGGCCGCCACCAAGCGTTCGACGGCGACGCAGACACCGCGCGCATTTGCGCAACCGCCGGTTCCTGCAGCCGCCCCCAAGAATCCCGCTACGAAACCGCCCGCTTCCTCCAAGCCACCGGCCCCTCCGAGCCCCTTCTCGGCCACCACAATTAACTTGCTGATGCAATCAATACATTGTCTGCTCCCGCTCCTCCTACTGGACTTTGAGCAACGGAAATTTGCTGCTGCCGTGGATTACGCCTCCAGTGATCTCCAAGCAGCGGGGATAACCAGACTTCCCATCTAGTTTGGCGTCCCCACTCTTGTTCCTGCCCATGTTAAACTGTGCGCATCACTATGCCCCCGGCTTTCTCTGCGGTCTTCTCGGTCTGCTGCGTGTTTCGTGCGTGTTTTCTTACGCGCGTACGTTGGGCGGATCGAATGCGATTTTTTTTCTTTCTTTTCCTCCTTCACTTCAATTTTTTTTTCTTTTCTTCTTACCTTTCTCTTTTACTCCCACTACCCATTCCCCGTGCCGACTTGTTGAGGTGTCATCGTAATGATAGGCAGTTACGGGCGGCACTTTTCTCTTCCTTTTCATTTACATAATCACATAGTAGTAATAGACATCAAGCCAGCCTAAGGCAAGTTTGCCAACGAGTCACAAGCACCGGAGTGGCTTAGTGGTAGAATACTGGGCTGGCACTCAGCAGACCTGAGTTCAAGCCTCACTGAGCTATTGGTGCTAACCGCTTCCGCTGTAAAACCGGCTGCTCGCTCTGCAAAACTGTTCGTTGGCCACCCTGTATATGTAAGCAGGATTGCGCTTTTGAAATTCATTCAAGAGTGTCTTTACTTGGCTTTCGATTGACGATCTCCGCCGTCAACGTAGCCTCCAGTGTAAGCGTTTGCGCCCGCTGCTTCGCATCTGCACATGGTTCCGTTTAGCAGGAAATGATTTTAGAAGGAAGATACCGTCAGCCGAATCCAAATGCATCAGCTGTGATCAACACGATAAAACAATATTACACAATATTCCGCAACAATCGCCAACATAGCAAACACAAGGCGGCGGCGCCAACGCTCGACTTACCACGAGAGCCTGCGAGCGACGACCGCTCGCTCCAACCACCACACGCCAACAAAGACCGCTCATCGCTCATGTGCCCCCACCCAGGCTTGCCGCCAGGTGTCCCTGCCAGCACTAACCATGGTGATGATGATCGTTGGTGGTGATGAACGCTCGCAGGCACAATGCCGCCTACCACTCCATAGTTGTGAACAGTAAATGTGGCCTATGCGTGAAACACGTGAGCCACGAGGCACAAACGACTTTACATAGGTTATTACAACCCCCACATCGCCCCAAGTTTAACTAAAACCATATCCTGAAAAAAAAACATGAAAGAAATTTGCTACACAAGCTCTAGCAAACAATGACAATACATGTCCCAAAGAATGTCTGTGCACCACGACACCACCGCCAGTCGGCACTGCTACACTGTCCGGCTTGATTACTTGATCTCAGTACTGGTCCCGCAACAACAACGTGACCATCGGCGCGAGCAACCGTCACTCATACATGCCGGAACGTTTTCTGGTTGCGACCAGCAGTCACGAGGGCGCCAAACTGCAGGCAGTTGCGCATGTCCCAGGCATGTCCATCTCCTTATTTCACGACCGCATTTCTGGCCAGCGCGCAGACGATGGGCAGAACCAATTTTTTTTAATTTGTATAGCTGTGATGATTTTGCCTTCAACGACAAGCATATACATGTTTCGCCGCCATAAGTAAAACCTACGAGCTGAATAATTTTCCCCCATTTTGGGCACCAAAAGAAAAAACATGACGATAAACAAGAGTAGGGGGG